CTGATGGAAGCCACTATCCTCCCTTGCAAAGAGCTGTTGGTGCTGCAGAGTTTTTCATATCTTGGCCTTCCCCAAATCTTCCTAGTTTTCTTGTGGAAAGTCTGTGTTTCCCCACATGAAGCTAGCACAGTAAAAGGTGGGGAGTGGAGGAGGGGTGGCAGTTCCTAGCATGAGGAAGACCAGCACACAGTGCCAGGAAAGGGGCAGTGAACACAGGCTGCCCAGAAAAAACCTGACAGGTCCCTGCACATGGTGAGATATTTACTTTTTCCTCAGTGCAGCATCCCAGCTCCTCCTGCAGACTGGTGGTCATGCTTACCCACACACCTCCACTCACCCTTGCATGCCATTTGCGCACTCGTGTACGTGCTGATATGCACAGAACACAGGACACACAAACAGCTGCTCATGGTCACATATATGTTTCCCCTGCAGGTAGGGACACAGACACATGTATGGACCTGGGCTTGCCAGCACATGCAGACCAGTATATGGGTGTGTACACACAAACACACACACACTCAGAAAAGCACAAAACTCATGCAAGTGTGTGCTAAGTAGCACACTCAGCCATGCAGTGATGTGCTCTTGCTAGCACATACACACAGGTAACATGTCCCGAGGGCTGAGGAAAACAGGCTCTGATGTGCCCCCAGCCCTGGATCACTCTGTGCAGGGGGCTTCTTGCCTGCCCTCAATAGCAGTTTCTGCTGGAGATGAGAAGCAGCAGCCTCACTACCTAATTTTAGATCTCACCTTGAGGGCTTGCATTGCTTGTTGCCATGGCAATTGCTCCCAGCCAGGGACAGCCCGCAGGTACCTAGGAAATGTCTGTCTCTTTCTCACCACCTTCTCTGCACCTAGTGGCTGCTGGGGAAAGAGGCAGTTAATATATCTTGATGCTGACCCTGCTGCGTAGTTTCAGATCCTGTGCACAGGATCTGCCATCCTTCCCCCTTTCTGAGCTGGGACTGGCTTTCTAGGTTGTATTCCCACTCTTATTGTAGATTGGGTGGGTAGATGCACTCCCTGGCCCAGTGCAGGTAGGGTAAATGTGCAGCTGGCTCAGGTCTGCTCCACTATGCACAGGTGTAGTGAGGAAAGTCTGCCAGGGGTGGTGCTCAGTTCTGAGAAAAGGGCAGAGTGTTCAGGACCAGTTCCTTGGGCGGGGGATGAAGAGCAAGGGACTAGTAAGTCCCCTGTCCAGAGACGCTTGGGAATAGTATTTGGTACTTGGTGCAGGAGACCACAAGGGATTCCAGTATCTCATGATGGACTTTTTATGGCTGCACTCACACAGATGAAATGTAATGTCTCCCTGGTGGCTGCTGAGGTGCCTGAGCTGACTGGGGTGTCAATCACACCCAAGATGGAAAAGAGGAAGTGTCTTCCCTTAGAGTCCCTTGGGCATTCTTCCCTATCATGGCCTTCTGTCCTTCTTGTTCTATATGCTAATAAACAAAGGCCTTGTACACCTATTCAGTTTCTCCTAGGAGAGTTGCTGCTCTCCCAGGAGAAACCATGAGTATACAGGCTTTTTCTCCCAGAGTAAAAATGGCCTCTCCAAGAAAAAAAAACAACCTGAGAACAACCAGACTTAAATAACTTCTGCGAGATTTTGTCCTGGCAGAGCAAATGTCTGTACACGCTCAAAGAACACATCAACCCAACCTGCTGCAACAGGTGAGATACTGACACTCGGAGAAAAAGGAAAATGCAGCTAAAATCACAAGTCAGCTCCCCCCCTTCCCCCAAATCATGAGACTTGCTTAACAGTGATTGTATTTAAAACCATAACACAAGGTGATCTGCTTTGTTTGCTTTCTGGTATTTGGGCTGTGCAGGTATATCCTTTTGTGTGTTTCTCAGTGACCATCAGGACTGTCTCTCTGCTACTGAACCAAAGCTGAGATTCTTGCTTATTCCTGGGACTCCAGGAGGTAGAGCTTGAAGTAAAAGAAGCACCAGGTATCATAGGGAGGTCCCTCAGTCAGCATTGATTTTCTTGCTGTCACCAAGAATAATTTGGCAGTCAGGAGCTGAGCCTGAGAGCCCTGACTGGCACAAGTGCTTTTACCACTGCAGTATTCTTTGCCCTCCACTGAGCAGTACCTAAGACTCCACACTGGGGATCCCTGCCAGTGATTGCTTGGGATACGGGTTGGATGCAGCCGGAGGCAGGAAGGTTGAGGCCCAATGAGCCATGCCATCCCTAAGGCACCATCCTGAGACCTGATTTTATTTTCAGCCTGACCTTGACTCAGTCAGAGTAGCCAGGATTTAAGTTCTAGCCTGACGCACGATGCATGGCCCACATAGGTTAATATTAAAACGCCAAACCACCACATTTTGCCTAACGGGAAGAATCAGAGCAACTATTCCCAATCCGGCACCTGGACATGAAAAAGGGAAGTTGATCCTGAGGATCATTTCCTACTGTGTGCTCCTGCCAGCATTCCAACCCGCCCCCTGGCTGCGTCCCAGCTTGGCTACCAGGGGAACCCGCTCAGGGCTGCTGCCCAGGATGTATTGACTAGGCAGGATCAGGAGTGTGGAGAATCCTTAGCAGAGTCTCTGCCAAGTGCCCATAGCCGCGGCAGCTCCAGTTGTCCTCTGTCTAAACCTTAGCCTAATGAGAACCGGAGACACGTTTGAGCTTCAGCACAGACCCAGCCAGAGGAAGGGACGACTGCAGCACCAACACATGGGAGTGGGTAGGCAGAGGGGCAATACTGCCACCTGTTGCCAGGCATTTGAATTGTAGCCCTGGTTGGCTCAGTTTCAAAATATGGTGTAAACTTTGTTTCTTTTTGTTCCAGACTCGGAGTTTGGTGCAATAATGGGCATTGCAGAAAAATCTTAAATAGATCATTAGAGATTATGCAGCATGCTTTTTTACTCTGTTGTCCAACCTAAACATTTCCTTATGCTTTTCATAACTGAAAATATTATTCATTCCCTGATCTGTGCTGTTGCACATATTTGCTTCTGTTAAACAGCCATGGTGTCCACTCCAGAAGCAAAGACATTCAGCAGAATGTAAAATGATTCCTAGAACAGAAATCAAAAATGGAAAAAGTTTGATTAGTTTATTTTACCCAAGAGTGTCGCACTTGCCCTGCCCTTCCAGGCAGATCTGGATGCAGTGGCAGCGGTGGCAGCCAGTGCTGCCGCAGGGGTTAACACAACCACCCCTCTCCTTGACCACCACCTCCCATTCCCAGCTCCCGCTGCCAGCTGGTGCCTTTACCAGCCCTGGGGGCCACGTGACATGGTTCTGTAGGCTGTAAGTTTGACACCTTTGAGCTAACCTGTTCCTCTTACAGAGAATATTAAGGACTCACATTTATGGGGGAGAGAGAAAGTACTGTCATGAACTAGAAAGTAATTGTGAGAAAATAGAAGAAAAAAAACATTGACTAGGAAGAAATCAGTATTTATTCTTGTGGATTGTGGTCATCCAAGGAGTGCCCAATATTTCTACACTAAGACTGGTGGTGTTTAATATAGATTTCATAGATTACATAGAGTTCTAGGGTCAGAAGGGACCTGGCAGTTCATCAAGTCTGACCCCCTACTCCAGGCAGGAAAGAGGGCTGGGGTTAA